AGCTGAGCTGATAAAGGGCTCATTTTCTAACTTGCCAAACAGAGCATCACCTATCTTTGTTATTTTCTGTTGTGACTATCAAATGGTTTGTTAAAAAACAAATGGTCTCAAGAACTGTATTCTAGTTGGGGAATAATGTTGTAATAGCTGAAGGAGCAGAGTTCCCACTGACATAAGCAGTTTTTCTAACTCTTGCCTTCCTTTGCATATTTGAAAATCATGTCTGTTGTGTGTCAGTTTCCCCTGATTGCCCTCACTGGCCTCTTGGGGCGGACGCAGAGCCAGCAGAGAGGGGAAATGTTTCTGCCTGTTTATTACAATCTTAAAGCTAAATTGGCCAGGCAGGCCCTGCCTCCCACCTGTCGCTGTGCGGAGAGTCTCCCAGCGAGTCGAACGAGTCTCCATACTGCAGCCCCGGCCGATGGGGATCAGAGTAACCACAGTGAGCAGCTCGCCGCGCCCGTGCCTCCATGCATGCAGGGCTGCTGCATTTACTGGTCCCCACAGAAGATGACATCATTCCCGGCGAGTCAGAGAGGAAACTTTCAGACCGATCCAGGCTCCATGTCCGTTCCTCGTGTCTGTCAAATAAAAAAAGGTGTTAACATGAACACACCCCGAATTGTCCAAAAGATTATATTTTTCCTTCTTTGTAGCAGAGAATAAAGCCCTTTTAGCAAAAAGGAAGACTCTCTATTTCCACAGGAAAAGGATTTATCTACTATGAGTCACCTGTTTAAAAGCTACAATCTTTACTCCTTGATCTTCTCTCCTCTAATACTGACACATAAGTTCTAGCAGTTTTAATACTCCTCCGCACTAATTAAATAAACTTGGCTTATTTTATGTCTGGCTTATCAATTTTTCAAGTTATTTCAATTTAGTCAAATCTGATGGATTCCAAACCCAAGCAGTGTTTTTAAGGTCATACCACAGCAGCACAGTTACATTTTGGCTGAAATTCTACTGGCAGAATCCTAAACCATTATTGAATTGTGAAGGTCATTATGAATCATAAGTATTTGTGCATTGTAACTGTCAATTTCTAAGTTGTAAGGAGAAATCAAACATAGCTTTTTGTAAAAAAAAATAAAAAAATAAAATTCCATCTGCCAGTTCAAATCAGTTAGAGAGCACAAATACTTATGATTTAAAATGACCTTCATATTTACATTTTTTAAGCCATCCAGATCAATGAACTGCTGCATAGCCCAAATGATTATGATTTCACACAAAAAATATTTTTCTTTGTTGTATATTTATTGTAGAAAGTTTGGCAAATACAGGCAGATTAACAACTGAAGGATTGTATTTGGCTAAAACAAACCAAAGACACTGAAAAAAGCAGGAAGACCAATTAACTGAAAATCACATCTATGCTAACATAAAACGACCAATCGAGAAAAAAAAAAAAAAAAAAGGAAATCTGCAGACTATCCTTTAAGTTTGACACAGGGAGTCTGATGATAGCTTGAAGTTATAGAAAATAAAGGGAGGGGAAAAGATCAAGGCAAACCGAGGACACCTAGTGACCATTACAGGGATAATTCCAAACAGTAACTCCTGGACCAAAAGAGATACACGGGAGATGAAACTCTCACACAGCAGCTACAAGTTTGTTTAAAGATATAAAGAAAATGTAAAATGAACCCTAACCCAAGAAAATACAGGGGCAGTAATCTATTACCTTACACCCAGTAGAAGAGGAGTAACAAAAATGTATCACACAATCTAACTTAACAGCTTTAGCTCACGTCACATCAGTCTAAGAAAAAAATGACATGACAGGCACAATGTGACACATATAAGGACTGCTTACCTTTGAGTTGATGAGTGGGCTCGCGTGGAAGAGTTGTGAGATCTGGAAGAGGCATGACTGGCTGGGAATGAGCGCTCTGTTGCTGGCCGTGTGACTCGCTCAGTTGCAGGGACATTCTTTGATATGTACTGTAAAAATATCAGAAACTAATTCATTAATGTAAAGTTAACACATCTTCATAAGATGTATTTATGTTCATCATAGCATTTTATTGGACTTTTCTCTCATAAAACGTACATCTACCATAGGGATTTCCTCTGGGCCGGGTCCTGGGTGATTAGGTCCATTAGCAAGGTTTCGGTTGGGATGTTCAGGGCACATGTTCTGTCGCATATGATTGTGCATCTTCTTTCTTTGTTTCCTGTTAAATGATGAAAAAATATACATTTTATTCATTTTTCCTTTGCATTTTGTTAAGTTAAACTATCCATTCAAAACATAAAAAAATAGAATATATAGCTGATTGCTAAAGGAAAAATAAAGCTTTAAAGTACAGAACATAAAAATAATAAATAAATAAAAGAACTAAATCTTTATAAACCTGATCTTTTCTTTTCAAAGCAAATCAGGAACTTTTAAAGTATGTTTGGACAACAAACAAACATACAGTAAATAAGAGCCAAATATGGAAAACTTAGGTGCTGTATCCTTAACTGTTTCGATCCAAACTGTGTGTATTTACCCACAGTTGCAGTTGTGTTTTATATCAGTATTTTAACTTATCTTCCTAGAGTGAGAGATTTTGCATAAATTCAGTGATTCAGTGAATTGTAGCAATAATCAGGTCCAGAATTGGAGCAGAAATTACCAAATGCTGCTTTTTTTTTTTCAAGCAGTTATTTATACTGCAAAAAATGGGATTTCTAAAATCAAGGGGAAAAAACTATATGGCAGGAAAAAGCTTCTCAAACTAAGTAACATCATCTGTCCACGTGGAAAGATAAGTTTACTAACATGATTACTTGATCTGAGATATTTTATAAGTTTAGGTAACATTTACAATTAGAGATGATGTCTTAAGCATGGTTATTTATCTAATCTAAGTTTTTCTTTAATCTTGGTCAGAACCCAATCATTAGCAGTGTACCTCTTTGGCAAATTACAGGCAAACAGGGCCTGAGACTTTTAAATCCATCAATATGATGCCAGGTTGTTAGGTCTTCTGCGTTGATATTTCCCCATTACTTTCTTTGTCATTGAATAATTCACAAATGAAATCTTTACTTTTAGGTGCATATTCAACCTGGAGAATTTAACAATTGCAACCACTTTTTTCTTTTGCGTGACCACTACGCTATGCATTGATTGCTGTCTTGCATTTCAGACATAAAGTCATCCCCACTTGTTA